TTAATATTCTATATTCATATTTTAATATTACTCTGCATGCTTGAATCATTGAAATGATCTCAATAACTTTGTGATTTTAATTTAATATTCTTTAGAGTAACATCTATCCAGGGACTACAGATGAAAACTAACTGTGGCACATTTACAGCAGTGTTTATTAATGTGCGCTGCCCCTGTTAAATAAACCAATAAATAAATAAATTCTTAAATAATCAATTGCTCTAGTTTGCCTTCTAAATGATGTCTTCAAATTGCTTGTTTTGTATGACCGACAGTCCAATACCTTAATATAACAGTTTATATATACTAGTACACTATAAATACTAGTATACTATACTGTACACTATACTATACTGTCTTTTACTGTACGATACTATACTATACTGTCTTTTACTTTTCTATACTATTCTCAGTCTATAGGGACTGCACCACAGTACAGAGTGTGGTCCAGGTGTGGACTGGCAGCTGGAGAGGTGCCAGTTCCACCTCCTGTGCACCGCCGAGGTGAGCTTGAGCAAGGCCTAACCCCTAACTGCTCCCGGAGCGCCACTACGTGGCAGCCCGTCACTCCACCATCTGTCCACATTTGCATGTCTATAAGCTCTGTGTGTACATGATTGTATTTATGTGTAAAAACATTGGGTGAAAATAATTTCCCCATCTGGGATTAATAGAGTAATTCTTCTGTCTGTTTCTTTGTTTAAGTTATTTATTAATAATAAATATTCCTTTGACTAATTGTGTAATTAATAATCAATAATTTTAACTAAATTTTTTTAACTGGCTGGAGTATTGGATTGTAAATCATAAAAAATAAAAACTGTAAATACTACAAAGGTGTAAATGATACTGTGTCAACCCCTGCACATCTCATACTAGCTTTTCCCACGAGAAGAGAAACAATTAAGTATTAAAAGAACAGCGGCTGATAATCTGGCTGCCACTGGAGCGCAAAGCATTATGTCCTCCTGCAGGAACACTGAGTGAGGCCAGCTATCATTTCCAATGTATGACACGGATCACAAACCGAACTGCAGTATTAAATGTTACTGACAAGATCAAAGTTAATTAGAAATAGCTCTTCAAAATGATGTACTGGAACAATAATAAGACAATTGGCATATAAGTGATTGTAATAATTTCAGAAACTAAATAAACCTTGCCGTATGTCATCAAGCAGTGATTAATATCTGGAAAGATTATGGCAATGTTGGACATACTTCTGCCGCAGACACAAAATGAGGCAGTTTTTCTAATGTGAGTGAATCTGTAGCACGCTGAAATGATGGAGATAACCGTCCCAACATTTTTCATTTCTCCTCAGGCTCCAGTTTTCTGCTGATTACAGCTGCTTTCATTTATTCCAGCTGCTATTAAACCACTTAGCAGCCATGCTTGAGGAACTCTGTTATTCATTCAGTTTTGAGTGATGTTTATCGTTATGTATTTTCAGTGACTGTTACAGAACATGCGGTGTGTTTTGTTGTTTGTGAATTAATTTTGCTACAAACTGAACTGCACTGCTGAGATTACAATGAAGACCAACTGTACCTGAGGCATGCTGTATTCTTGTCCTAATTATTTACAGCATTTTGTAAGTGCAGAATAAATTATTAGGATGTTATATTTTTATGCATAGCACTGCTGGTAGCAGAAGCCAGTTCGTGGGAGTTTCCTCTGGTTGCATAGCAACAAACAGTGAGGTGACTCGCATATTTTAGCATTTGACACCACTGATGTACAATGTGATGCATATCTCCTTGAAGGAGTTCCACAGACTCTCCAAAGTCACTCGTGAGTGAATAAGGTTGTTAGGCAGCCATGTTTGAGCCAATAAGCTGCTCTGTGTCTGTTAACTACTGCTTAGTCATCAACCCTGCTGAACATTCACCGACTGTGATGCTCTTTTTCCACCTCAGACCGACTTTGTATTTTAGAGTCTGAATGAGCTTACTGTTTGACTGCCAGCTTCCCCTCAGAGAGACAGAGACAGAAAATGTATGTGTGTGTGTGTGTGTGTGTGTGTGTGCGTGTGTGTGTGTGTGTGTAAGAGAGAGAGAGAGAGAGACAGAGAGAGAGAGAGAGAGACAGAGGGCTGCTGGCATAACTAGGAGGCAGTCACACAGTACAGGCAGGGATTTTAAGAAAGTATCAGTGTTAGAATGACCTTCCCAGTCTGATGCTGCCAGGTTTGGGGAACATGACCACTTCTGTGACCTTTACGACAGAGGCAGTGTAAATAGAAGAAAAGCACAGTTGTCTTCTGCTCATTCAACCCAATGAAACACTGTTTTGTATCACTCTATCACAAGATCAGTCATGACAACTTCTCTTACATGTTTAGCTGTCACTGTCTGACTGGAAGAATACAGTAACTTTGTGATGATAACAGATAACAAAGAAATTGATCTAGATGACCTACTACATATGTAGATATTTAAACAACATTGCTAAATACACACGAATTGAGGAGGACTGCAGTGCAATGGATGACTCAAGTGTTAAAATAGTCAAAGATTTGATTAGTTGACCGACAACAATTTTTATCAATTGATTACTCTTTTAAGTAATCAAAATCTTTGCTTGATAAAAATGTAAAATCTAAGAGTGCACTCTAAAAAGTACTTAACTGTGAGGAATGCTACATCTGTGAAGCAGAAAAGGACTCCAGACAAGAGACTGAATGAACCCTGGAGACAGACAACATGAATTTTCTGTGGACATCAGACCAGAACCAAACATAGACTTGGAACCGGTCAAAGTATTCAACAAGGTCCAGAGAAAGATCAAGGAGGACTTAACCCACCGCCAGGCATCCTTGAACAGAAGCAGTGGTTATGAGCTTCCCCCACATATACTACAACTACCTGTTAACAACTAAACCACCTGCATGACACTGATGAAGGCTTTCATAAAAAAACATGCAAATGGACCTTGTGATAAGAATTTTTTGATAAACTTACAGTAATTACAGTGGGTATTTTTACTACTCTTGAACAACTTAAAGACTAAACTATACTAACGATTGTTAGTTGCAGCCATACCTGGCACACATAATAATGCTTCACTATTAATACCCATGAATAAGCCGAAACATTGATATGTATTTTAGCTTTGTGACATTTGTTGCTGCTTTTACTAAGAATAAATTCACATTCACGTACACACGCAGTGACATGTGCAGTTGTGTGTTTGTACTGAGATTAGAGGCCTTGGAAAGCGCCTTTCTGTCTCTGACCTACTGTTGACACTCGGACCTGATAAAGACACTGAAGAGAAGTGATAAGACGAGGCTGGCTGTCCTGTCAGATAAAGACACGGTGCAGACACCAGATGACTTTAATATGAGCCTTGAATGACACTTATCAAAACGGCACTTTAACAAAGAATATATGAGCAAACACCTTGTGTTTGTGGCTGCAGAGGCTATTATGCCTTTATCTATACAAGTGGGCAGAAACGAAATGAAAAGATTTTAAAAACCTTCTCTTGACACTTTTATAGCCTAAAATCAGATGCTTCACTTAACACAAAATAACCAATTTTTTGCATTCGGCTGTTTCCAGAACCTCCTTTTCTAATTAGACTGGTTTTGTGCCTCAGTTTCCTTTTGTAAACACTAATTAAAAATAAAAAAGAAACAGTGTGACTCTTTGACATTGGTAGAATATTAAAATAGGAAATAACACATTTTATGCATTGCTTCTAGCCCGTCAAACTAAAAATAGCAACAATGTTTGGAGCACACACTAAATTACGCTGGGATTAATTTTGATGAAAGCTCTGCAGATCAGAAAAAGAAAAGCCTGGTCAGTCTTTGTGCCATGTTGTTGGAGAGCTCCAAATCATGTTCATCAGATTCAGAGCCAGCAATAACTTGCATCACCCCTCTGTGATTTATATCCAAGCGCTCCTTCTATTTACAGCAGCCGTGGTTTTAACTAGTTCATGAAGCAGCATGGCAGCTTTATGGAGGGGCTGGCCTGAGAGAGCTGCTGCTCCCAGCTGCTCCTGTCTAACTCTCCATTCAGCATGAGGAGCTAACCTGCCCCGGAGGGCACTGGTATACGGGGACAGCAGCGGGACAGATGCTGACCACATCTGGTGGGCGGATACGACTGAGAATTACACTATCAACAGAGAGGCAGAGGTGAAGGAGAACAGAGGAGTGTGTGTGTGTGTGTGTGTGTGTGTGTGTGTGTGAGTGTGTGTGAGTGTTTGTATGCATGACAATGTGTTTTCTAAAAGGCAGAGAAAGGAATAGTTACGAGCTATCTGTATTGAGGTCAAGGGTGGAAAAATTGGTATTCAAGGATGTTCATTTTTTACTTATTTCCTGATGCTACTTTTCATTCCACCACAGGCCCTGTGGACGATAACCTTAGTATAAAAAAAGAGATTTGGAGGCACAATGAAAATCAGGGCTGCAACTAAGGATCGCTTTATGGATTGAAGGAGTTTTGTGTGACATTTAGTGGCATCTAGCGGTGAAGTTGCAGATTGTAACCACTTGCATCTGTATTTGATGAACTAGGAATAAGAACGGGCTTTGAAGTGTGGAGGAGAAACTACGGTGGCCACAAAACTCGCAAAAAACACAAAACCCCTATCTACTGCCAGTGTTTGGTTTGTCCGTTCTGGGCTACTGTATTAACATGATGGTCTCATTGGAACACGTCATCCGTAGACAAAACGTCTCTCAATGATTTCTATATACAGGTGATTATACACCAATGAAAACCTATGAATATTATATTCCGTTTCTGCCAATAGGTCCTCCTAAATGTTACACACTGGACCTTTAAGGTCAGATTTCTTCTTTTGTCCAACAAACAGTCCAAAAACCAATATTCAATTTACTATTATAGGACAAAGAAAACAAATAGTCACATTTAAAAAGCTGCAACAAGTGACTTTTTGCCATCTTGGCTAGATAAATATCAAAAAATGAAATGAATTACCTGTCAATAAAGCAATGAAACACTCAGTATCTCACTTACTGTTGTTTATGAGTAAGCTCCTCCTCCTTGTTCACCAGGTCCTGTTTGAGGTTGGCTAGCATTTCCACAGAGACATCCACCTGCCGAGAGAGCTCGGAGGCCTTGTCCTCCAGGTCTTGTTTCTCCTGGCTCAGCTGCTCGCTCTCCTGCTTGGCCCGCTCAAGCTCAGAGCTCTTCCTCTCCAGCTCTGCCTGAAGACGACCTACGCGGGCCGCTATTTTCTGCTCCACCTACAAGACATTATAAGAGAATTTAGCTAAATCAGAAATTGTTATGCTGGCCTTGACAATATACCAATATTAAAAGTAATCAAATTATAAAACAGCTTGTTTTTTTATGTATGTCGGAGTGTGAAAAAAACATGACAAATCAGTGGTGCTGTCGTGCCTATTCTAACCCAGAAAAAAGAAGAAAAGTGAAAGAAAAAAAGAAAGAAAAGCCTTCATTCCTTGATTAATGTTATTCACACTATATGCTCATTTTGGTCAGCATATAACTTCCTGATTATAATTATGCAGCTGCTAAGCTCCTTACAGGCAACATGTTATTCCCATTTTTAGCTATTCTCCATTGGTTACTGATAAAATGTAAGATTTTTTAAGTGTAACTGATCAGATTCGGTGCATGCCTGAGACGAGCTCATTAATTTTCGCTCTGCCGCTGAGCTCGATGTTCTCAAAGCAGACTGAGGATATCAGGAAGAGAGTGGCTTGTTGTTTAATGTCTGACCTATTAGACAGCGCCGTTTTTCCTTCACTGGGCAACAACCCTGTGGAAATCAAACTGGCAACAAGGAACAACCTATGTATATAGTGTTACAATCTTTGTGTGTCAGTGCTATCTAAGTATTGTATTTTCTATATTTTTCTTTTAAAGCAACTATGTTGCTAAACATGATTTAGCATCACTCTGTTTTTAGACAGGTGTGTTGCTTTAATTTTGCTCATACAACCACTAGTGTACTAAAGTGGGAAATGTTCAAATTAAAGGTAAAGCTTTGTAAATAAAAAGTAAAATCATTTTAAATTTCCCTTCATCACAACTCTGTAGATACAGAACATAGTGACAATCTAAACTGTAACTACATGTATAGTTTGCCTAACTAAGTATATTTAGCCATATTTCTGTATAATGACCCTATTTACCTCTTCAGACAGCTTCTCCAGCCTTTCATCCAGCTCCAGCCGCTCAAACGCCCGTGCCTTCAGCCTGGCCAGGCCTTCCTCATAGGCTGCCTCCACTGCACTGGCCGCTACATTGGCTGCCACTGCTACAGCTGTGCTGGGGTTTCCATGAGGACCTGGGTCTGCGGATGTCATGGCTTTCTTCATAAAAATCTCCCCCAGGGGGAACTCCACATTGGGAATATACCTGGCTGCAGTGTTTGAGTTAGCCGGGGTCAAACTAAGGTCGTCCGCACAGGGAAGCTCACGGCAAGGGAAGCGACGTTCCTTTAAAGCCGAAGGCCGAAGGGGTTCAAAGGGGTCGTTGTTGTTGGCAGGTGTGAGGAGGGCTCCCTCAGCCACTAGTGGCAGCAGAGCAGCAGCATCACACACACTGTTGGATTTGGAGAGGACGTAGAGGGTCTCGTACGTGTGGTTGTACTCCAGGTGGGCACGTAAGGACGACAGGCTTCGGAAGCGCTTGTGCTCCCCGCAGCGAGGACAGCGGTATGGCAGGTCCAGAGAGGCCATTCCGTGCAGTAACTGCCGGAGGAGAGGGGGCGCTCACGCGGCACAACAATGGTGCCAGTATGAGGGCACAGAGGTCAAGCACCTGACAGATCGTCTCATGGTGAAATTGGGGCAACTACGGCAAGTCAGTAGGAGGAAGAGAGATCCCATGTGGAGGAGCCCAGCTCAATCACACGACCACACATAGTGGCAACATTCAACTGGTCGTTTCACTTCATCTTTCATGGTTCCCCAGCCTGAGGTCCTAAAAACAGAGCAAGAAAAATACAAGTGAGTTACAGTACTTTATACTGTGAATTTTGGTATAGCTGGAACATAATTAAGTTAAAACAAAGTTGATGACGAAGAATAATCCTAGTGCAACTGCAAAACAGATTCTTCTTTTCTGCTTCTACTTTTACGGACTCTTATGATTAAAACTTTCTTCTTTCATTTGAGCAGAAAAGTTGAAAAACTGACATGCAGGGAACCATTAAGTCAGTGAAAGAAAGCATACATATTCACACATTTTTATGCAACTGTCATCCAACTGTGAAGAGAAATCTTTCATAAAATGAATTGCGTGATATTAGCATTCTAACACATTTGTAAAATGTGATTATTGGAAGTCCATCACTACATGTTTACTACTCCAGCTGTCTGAACACAGCAGACATCACAGTCTGCTGAGTCCGAGCTCTCTAAGTAGGAATATTGATCTATAAGTTCAGTGGTCAAGAAACATGAAACCTGTATTTCACAAAGGGTTAAAAAGTACCCTCACGTGTACCCTGAAATACTCAGGGAGGAAGTGTGTGGAAAAGGAAATGGCTCCATTAGTGAGAGTGCTTGAAAGCACCAACATCCATATTCTAGTCTGAAGTCTACGAGGTCAGCTGGACAATACTCTCTAAGTCCTTTACAAGAGGATCTGGTAACTCACTCTAGGAAAAAACACATTCTGCTATCTGAATTGTGTCCTCTTCGTCCAGCCTTTGCCTCTCAAGTTTCTTGTAAATCTTAAACGCTGCCTTATATTTTTAAAAGTGTGCCAGTAGAAAAGTGAAGAAAGTTTACATACCAAAAATTAAATAAAGACAAATAAAGCATGTAATTCCGCTATTTCCCTTGGAGAAGTTTCTCAATAACAATGGTCCTTGCTTTCATAATTCACTCATAAGACAGGAGTTTGGTGGCAAAAAATATATTTTTTAAATATATCGTCATACAATTTAGCGTTTCCATCTGCTACTCATATGCTGAGTAGAGTACAGCAAGAACATTGCATCACTGTTTATCCAATTACCCAGCCCTTGATGCCACTGGTGTAATAAAAAATGCATCATGCCAGCCACAGTTAATTCCATTGCACCAGGCCCTCTAATTAAAGTGAAATTATCTGATCGAGTAAATATTTTTGATATATCTGGCTAAAAAATTAGAAGAAAACTGCTGAAAACTTGGTGAATAAGTAGCAGTAGCACACCAGCAAAGGTTGGTTAATATCAATACAACATCCTCACACGCTTTTATCACATTATACTCAACAGCAGCTTTATGTTCTGATTGAAAAACGCCTCTTCTGAGAACAGATTCTTTTTATTGTTTAAATGAGAACAATTTAATATGGGCTGCTGTTATATGATATATGTTACAAGGTAAAAGAGCCAGGTCATGTCATGTGGCCTTGACCATTTCTAGCAGTTTGTTCATCTGCCAAACTCATCATACATCATGTTTAGTGTTGCTCAGCCCAATGAAATGAAGATCCTGACTCTCAAGTACTGTTGAATATCGAACATACCTCACCTAACAAATGACAACACTATTTGCCTCTTTTTATATATATATATATATCAGCAGCCTAAACCCTTGCACTACAACGCCACGTGGTCTGATTATCAAGTGCAGCCCAAATAGTAGAGTGAGCACAGTCTGTGTTTCAACATGGACCATTTGCGATCTTACAGCTGTGGCGTTGTACAATCCAGGACTAAAGCTTGAACCAGAACAGACTTTCTATCAGAACTTTGTACAGCAGCTATTGATGAGAGAAGCAGCGGGCACAGGCACTGGCGGTGTAATCACAAATCACAGCAGATGCAGCCCCTTCTTCACAGAGGGCTTATACACTGGAAATCCCCAGAAGTCACTGAGACTGTTATTAGACGTCTGGTGAGGCTGGAACAGGGAGTGTACTGGCAAGCCGTGCCCACTTATTAAAGAAGGAGGATCTCACAGACGCAGTCACTACACTGCAGACAGCAGGCGTTCCCATCTGCTTAAAATTACTATGTGAGGTATTTAACCGTGCAGGAAATGGAAGGAAGTGAGGCTGTTTGGTAGCCACATGTCACATCCTGCCAATGGAGCTCAGCTGAGGCATCCCAGAGGGCTGCCTTCAGTGTTTTGTTGTGATTAGTGAATAGTGGACGTGTGTGTAGCACATAAAACACAAAGATTCAGATTCCGCTACATCTGCTGCATATACAATATTTAGGGCTTATAATTTTGGAGCTGACATTTTCTGTATTTATTTTGAATATTTAAAAAAAATCCAGGTTAAAATCACATTACAAAAATAACAGTGCAGTGCAACTAGCAATGTGGTTTTATATTGCAGTCATTTTTCAAGCAGCTATTTACTGTTTTTTCCAATATTGTGTTTACTTTCTATTAAAGGAAACTATTATTATAAACTAGTATATTTCACCATGAGAAGATGCTGTAAACTGCAGTGAACAGTGTTCAGACAAGCAAACAACAATTTTTTGATCCATGGGAACACGCAAAAGAAAAAATTACTGCATACTGATAGAGTTTATACGAGATACAACAATTTGGTCATGGGCGGCTGCAACTACAGTAACTATTATTTCAATATTGATTAAACTGGTTATTCAAAGTTATTCCTTCAAACCCAAAGGTATGAAACCTGAGAACTTGTGGCACTTTTTACTTTGCTTAAAAAATGACTAAAACAATCAATTGATTATTAAAATAGTTGCAAATTTCTGACGAAATTATTCTTACTTATCAGTTCAGCTCAACTTTGAACCAAAAACATCTTTATACTTAAAAGACCAGTTTAGGAGGATCTATTGGCAGAAATAAAACATAAAATTCATAGCTATGTATTCATTTATGTATAATCACCTGAAAATAAGAATCGTTGTGTTTTTGTTACCTAAGAATGAGCTGTTTTTATCTACAGAGGAAGCTGGTCCACTTCTACATAGTCTGCCATCTTGAACCGCTATGTTTCTACAGTAGCCCAGAACGGACAAACCAATCATTGACTCTAGATAGGGCTTTTGACGCTTTTTCTGTGGCCACTGTAGTTTCTCCTACACACTTGGAATGAGAGCGTTGTAATCTGCAACTACACTGCTAGATGCCACTACATCTTACACACTGGTCCTTTAAGCGACAGGCTGCAACAACCAATAAAACAGTGACGCAAATCACAAATGCGAAGCAAAATAAATACAGCAGATCAGATAATAACCTATATAAAACATATAGACAACCCTTGGTTTGATACTTGGTAACAAGAACTTTTTCATCAGTAACAATCAAAAACCATTAGCCTTACCAAACCGAATGTCCCATCTGCCTCCAAGACACCGTGGTCTCTACCTTTTAACTGCCAACTGATAAGCTGTATGAATTAACACTGATCAGACATACAAGAGGTTCTTTAAGTACAGGCAGTTGGTTTGGAAACAGGAAACTCTCAGTAGAAGCGCATCTGCCACAATCCCAAGGCCACATATTGTGAGTCGAGGCACTATTTTAGCTCTGTAATAATGTCTCTACATAGCAGCCACCTGGTGCTATGGCACAATATCACAGAGAATGGCATAGTATTTAGTATTTAATTATAGTATTTAAAAACGTTTTTAATGCTTAATACGAATATAGAAAATACTGTATTAGTACTGATGCTTAAAGGTTTGTCTTTTTAACAAGCTCACATGCACTGTTGAACACTTCAAATATATATGTACTGTCTATAGTTCTCTCTGACTTATATAAGTTAGGGGCTGATGGGAAAACACAGTCATTAGTAAAGATCTGAATACTGTTACTGCTATAGACCACATTCTTGACTGACATGACAGGCCATTAGAAATGTCACCCTAATTGGTTGTTTTATTCCTGTTTCGTAAGTAACCCTATTGTACAGGATTTTAAGGGAAAGCTATCTTTTAATGGCTCTTCGCTTGGAAACAATCTCATTTTCATTGTCTGTCAATCCAATGCAAGCTTTCAGATGGTAAAATAAGGCATTAAAGTCAGTCCAACATAAAACAGAAAAGGGGCTTCAATTGGACCGTGGCTCTTGGTCATGGTCATGAGTGAAAGGTATGTGAAGGTATCAGGAATAAAAGATTCTTCATATATTGCTGTTTCCATCGGTGCAGTAACCAGAAGTCAAGGGGTGTTTAAAGATAGAGGTTGATCTATAGAGTTGCCAACCCCCACAGTCAATTTCTATTGCACAGAAGGAAGGCTTCAGAACATAAAGTCAAGAGGAGAGTCACAGGAGAATATTCCTAAACAGCCAGAGAGACTAAAGCTATAGAAAGGTGATGAGAAAGAGCAAGAGTGGAGAGGTGGGGCAGAGGTGTGAGTGGGAGGAATTTGCATGAATGGGAAAGACAGACAGTGAAAGTGTTTCACAGAGATGGGTAGAAGTGTATAGATACTGCAAGAGTTTTACAAATCGTAAAAAAGTAATCGATGGCCCGGAGAGGATAGACGCCACTCCAATATAAGTTTTCAAATTGTATGTATTTTGCAAGAGTAAAGCTGGGAAATAATACAGTGTCATAATTTATTATAGGGCCCCTGTTGACTATCTGACCACTGGAAGGGGTGTGGAGCTATGAGTGGGTTACTGTTTTGTTAGTTTCTCATGCATGTACGAGCACAGTTTCAGGCTTTTACACTGATCTTCAGTTGGTGGCAGTAACATACCAAGACGATTTGCAATGCACTTAGTATGTTATTGTTTATATATGATTTATGATTATATGATTTAGTTTTACATATTTTGATATTGACACTTGAAATGATAAAGACACTGATTACATGGCAGCTGATGGCTAGGCTAGTACCTTGCATTACAGCTCCAATACCAGTGGTGTGTGTGTGTGTGTGTGTGTGTGTGTGTGTGTGTGTGTGTGTGTGTGTGTGTGTGTGTGTGTGTGTGTGTGTGTGTGTGTGTGTGTTTGTGACTGAGAGGTACATTGTAAAGAG